GGTAGTAAATTTAATGGCCTCTTCTTTTCCTCCTATTAAAACAATAAATGTTTGAAGAAAAGTCATAAATGAGTGTATTAACCCAAAGCTTAAATGTTTCTTTCGAAGTTTCAAAACGCTGATGCTTTGGGTCATATCGAAACATTAATCATCGGTAATCCCCTGCCGTGGTGAAGTGGAAGATAAGATTTAGCGAATGAGGTTTCCAACATTTATCTTTGCGGATTTCGTTATTACCTCATTTATTAAAGAAAACTAATGATAATGTAGATAAAAAGCTTAAAGTTAAGTTTTCTCTAGTTCTTTTTATCTAGTTAGTTATAGGAATATTTTTTGCACCAATTGGAATTCTGTTCTTTCTGATTATTGAAATGCGGTTTTTGATTTGTCCCATTAAAAAATGTTGAAGAATATTTATTAATATTCGTAGTTTAAATAGAGGTGTCCGAGCCAGAGATAGGTTGAACTGTATCATTTTATTTTATTATGAAACTGTCGTTGATCAGTCGACCCAATTTTTCGGGTTTACTTACTTATATTCAACTCCGTAGCCTTGTAATTTCGAGCCCAATCCAGAAGACCAGAAAACTCCTAGATCAAGTATTGGGAAAAAGTTGCCTTCAATGAGGAATTTTTGATGGAACTAACCAAAATTTGAGCTACATGGAGAGGAAAACGACGAAAACCTCCTACGGTAATCCTGACGGCAAGGAGACTCTAATCCATGATCCGTCTACCATTGAGGATATTTTACGTAAGCACATTAGTTAGTGCGAGTTGGGTGCGGCATTCTTATCCGCCAGTCATCGGTAGGATTCGAACCCGGCTCACCTCATTGAAAGGCGAAAGCTCTATCCTCTGAGCCACGGCTCTAGCAGTATCATTTGACTATTATCGTTCAATTAACGGGGTTAATTAATCTCTAAATGTCGCCACCATAGAGTATCAAGTGATAACTACAACTACAAATCGCTCTCTAAATCGTTACTATTAAACTTACTTAAATATATGCATAATAATACTAAATCTGGCACGAAAATAACGCGTGATTGTGACTATATTGCCGTAATACTGTAGTTGTTGATGGCAACCAGTTGCTTACATTATTTTACTTTGAAATGAAACGTGTTTCAAATAGTAGCTTCTAGTAAATGATTGATCCTTGGTAATTTTTCATAAGTTAATGAAACGTATTTTATTCGAATAACACTGTTCATTGAAGAGACAGTCGTGATATGAAATAACACTTTCTAGAGAATAATATACCATTTTTTTTAACTGTTGAAAGCTTTTTTTTTTTTTTAAAATAATAACCGTTGTTGAACAGCCGACCCAATTTTGGGTTTAAGATTACTAATGCTCAACTTCGTAGCCTTGTAATTTTTAACCAATCAAGAAGACAAGGAAATTCCTGGATCAGTACCCCCAGAGGTAAGGTTTGTTATGAGAATATGGTGGACTTTGTGACCCGACATATTTAACGTGCATCACACGGGGAGTCTTCGGCCGGCGGGGATACTGCTGTAAGTTTGAAATCGTTATTCGCGACTTTTATGTTAAGTTTAACTAATTTTTTCCAAGTGCTCTCTATTTTAATTCTGATAATGGCACATAACGCCAATATGAAGAAAAGCTATAGTTTCATGCAAATAAAAAGCGTTTGTTACCCATTTTTTTTTAATATTTAAAAAGTTACTCTAAAGGTGCAATACCTAAACTCTTTAAAAGTTTTAAAAAATTCAAAATTATTCAGTAATTTTAAATTTTTTCATCTAGATGAAAAAATATCGCCAAATTGGGCGATTTTTAAAAAGTTTAATAACTTTTGAAGTATTTAAGTTATTTTGTCCGTTCTAAAACCCAGATAATTTTTAACTAACTTAAAATGGCTTATATAGTTTGAAGTTACAGCTTTACCTTAAAGTATTTAAACTGTGGCTTTTATATTTTTCTTGGTGAGAGTTATGCCCATTCTACCCAGTGTCCTCCACGCTAATTGATACACTAATTTCATCAGAGGAAAAGCCACAATTTTTAAAAAATAAAAAGTTTTTGTCTATTAATTTTTAATAAGCTCTCTAACACTACATTGCTTCGGCTCTAAAAATACGCAAAAATTGAGTCATAAATTAATTTTAATGATTTTCATCTGAGTGTAAAATCTCCCTCTATTAAAAAATTAAAAAAAAAAACTTTTTTTAAAAGATTTAAATAATTTGTTGAACGATTTTTAAAAGTATTATTGATTTTGACTGTAATTTTTTTCATTGGACTGAGTGTTTGCTTACTTATATATAAAAAAAAAAAGTTGAAATTTAATAAACAATTTTTAGACATTATTGAAAGACCCATCGGAAACAATAAAGGCGTAGTATATATGCTATAAATATATGCAGAGTTTATGATAGCCAGGAGCACTTAGCGGCTGATATAATTCAGTAGCTCAGGTCTCGGATTCGCATAGCCTAATTAGGAAATCGAGGCAAACAATGTGTTTAGCTTTGACTTATATTAACCCGTTTTCTCCCGAATTTATATATTGAAATGATACAAAAAGTGATTTATGGAAAAAGTGGTATAACATATTTTCGAAATTAATTGTTTTTTCTACTGTTAGGGCATTCAAAAAGTCTTTGATAGATCGAAAAGTACTTGCTCCTTATAATTTTAGATCTAATCAGAAGTAACTAAATCATCATGGTATCTGAGAATCTTTTAATTCACGCAGATAAATGAAAATGCTGAAAAAAGTTTCCCACCACAATGAATGTCTTTGAAAAAAGGAACTGTCCTAAATATATGACGCTGGGCGTTAACCGGTTAACACGTTGATCGCCACGCTAATTTTACATGGCTTGCCCGTCTCGCCAAACTGTAATTAAATATAAATTAAAATTGCAAATATTAGACAAATTTTGCTAATTTTAAAAGGTTTAGCATGACATATATAAAAAAGTGGTGAATCATATAAGACTACGAATTGTTTAAAAATAGTGGTAGATAAAAATCTACTAAATTGAATTTATTAAACCAAGAATCACAATAATTAAGTAAATTTTGAATAAATTTTCTGCAATTCCATAAAAGAGNTCAAAGTATAACTAAATAGTTTTATTTTGAACAAAGTAACGGTGAATAAAATAAATCAAACAATTATAACTCCGCCCACAAATAAACTGTGCCAAAGAATTACTTTGATTACCAGCTTTATCTTTTTACCCTGGTTGATACGGTTTCATGCTGTCACGTATTTGTGACAGTCGGCGCGAAAGGGTTAATATTACTAATGCTCAACTTCGTAGCCTTGTAATTTTGAACCAATCAAGAAGGCAAGGAAACTCCTGGATCAGTACCCCCAGAGGTTTGATTTGTTTTGAGAATAAGTTACAGTTTCATGCTAATAAAGGGCGTTTGTAACCCATTTTTTTAATATTTAAAAAGTTACTCTAAAGGTGCAATACCTAAACTCTTAAAAAGCTTTAAAAAATTCAAAATTATTCAATAACTTTTATCTAAATGGAAAAATATCGGCAAATTGGGCGATTTTTAAAAAGTTTAATACTTTTTAAAATATTTAAGGTATTTTGTCCGTTCTAAAACCCAGATAATTTTTCACTAACTTAAAATGGTTTATATAGTTTGAAGTTATAGCTTTAACTTAAGGTGGCTTTTATATTTTTCATGGCGAGAGAAACGTCCATTCTAGCCATTGTCCTCCACGTTAATTGAAATGCAAATTTCATAAGCGGAAAAGCTACAATTTTCAAAAAATAAAAAGTGTTTGTCTATTAATTTTTAATAGCCTCTTCATTGCTCTAAAAATGCGCAGAGCTTGAAAGTCATAAATTAATTTTAATGATTTTCATCGGAGTGTAAAATCTCCCTATATTAATGATTTTTTAAAAAATAACTTTTTTTTTAAAAGATTTAAATTATTTGTAGAACGATTTTTAAAAGTATTATTGAAATTGACGGTCATTTTTTTCATTAACTGAGTGTTTGCCTTCTNAAAAAAAAAAAAAAAAAAAAAAAAAAAAAAAAAAAAAAAAAAACAATCGAGTTTAAATTTGATAAACAATTTTACAAATCAACAATTTTACAAATTTTTCAAACAATTTTACAAATATATGCAGAGTTTATGATAGCCAGGTGGTATAGGGCTAGCTGGTATAATTCAGTAGCTCAGGTCTCGGATTCGCATAGCCTAATTAGGAAATCGAGGCAAACAATGTGTTTAACTTATTACTTATATGAACACGTTGAACGCCACGCTAATTTTTCATGTCTTGCCCGTCTCGCCAAACTGTAATTAACTACAAACTAAAATTGCAAATATTAGAAAGAAATTGCTAGTTTTAAAAGGTTCAGCATGACTTATATGAAAAAAGTGGTGAATTATATATGACTACGAATTGTTTAAAAATAGTGATGGTTAAAAATCTACTAAATTGTATTTATTAAACCAAGAATCACAATAATTAAGTAAATTTTGAATAAATTTTCTGCAATTCCATAAAAGAGTGTAAAATTTATAGTTCTATGTCATGTTATACGCTGTCAGTCAGCTATTTTTCGCGGCCTACGTGAAAGGTCAGTGTCAGCCACCGGTGGCAGACGCAGGCTAAATGTAATTTCAATGTCAACCATCGATGGCTGACGCGGCGCTCAGCGTGTCAAATCACTACTAGGGGCAAAAGCTCTGTGGTTCAGGGATGTGCCTGGGTGTAAAGTAAAGTAACGAAAAATAAATCACTATTCGCAATTTCAATTCTGCAGCTAGTTTTCAAAGAGGGGATCTTTTACGTTTTCTATCATTAGTGAAATGTGCATTTTTTATTACACTGTTGAAATTTTAATTGTTTAGATAGTCAGGAATAAGGTACCAGTTAAATAAAGAAATAAACAACAAACTTTGAAGCATTGACATCACATAATCCTTACTTTTAATTTTTCTTAAAGAAATAAATAAACAATAAATTATAAAATAAAAAGAATCTTACCTTGCTGATAGGCTGCAAGAGAGTGTCCACTGAGGGGGGCGCTCGGTGGAGCGCCTCCCCCAGTTACATGCAAACGGTTCCTGAGCGTTACCAGTTCTGAACTTAGACTGCGCAATCTCTGCTGCAGGTGGTCTGCTTCATTTGAAGATGCTGCATCTGTGAAAGAGAAAAAAACAAATCTGATTTAGAATTTTGCACTTTTGAATCAAATGCAAAATGTTAGGATATACATTACAATTAAATTGATAACTTACTAAACATAGAAAAAGTTTAGAATGTTTTTTTTTTTTTTTTTTTTTTTTTTTTTTTTTTTTTTTTTTNTTTTTTTTTTTTTTTTGTTAACTAATTTATGTACCGATTTTTTTGGGGGGAAAACTGTAAAAATTATACATATGTGTGGAGATGCAGGAATCACAGAATGTAGAAGAGTTGTTGCTAATCAATAACAAAATAAAATTAACGCTTTTCCTTTAAATCATTTTAATTTTTTATATATATATATCACATGACCACAGAAAATCATATTGATTGGGAGTTGCAACCTTTTACAAATTCGCAAGCAGAATTTAAAAAAAAAATATCATCAAGTAATATATATCCGTTATAGTTTCATTAACAATTGGGTGTTAACCGGTCCATCGAAGTAGTAATTTATTTTCATAATTATACCTCTCTTCAAAAGACAAATCACCCCTCTATTTATTGACAAACTTCAGAAAGTTCTCGAAAGAAAGTACTGAAATTTTTTTTTTAACGGATGTTTTCGTTTGTTGGCAACGCGAAAATTCTGGAAGCATTCAAAGCATAAAACCGGAAGATATCAAGATGAGAGAATTAGCTTGTAACTTGCATAGAGAGAAAAACTTAAGGGATTAAAATGAAAATTAACAATGTAAAGGAGCTTAATTGAGTAATCGGTAATATAAAAAGAGGTAGAGAGAGAATGTTCACTGAACAGCATCACAACAATTTTGTTCTATTATTTAAAATAAGGAACTGAAGCAGAACGTGAGGCAAATTAGTTTATTCTTTCAGACGCCATGTGGGCAGCCTGGGTACACAAATATTACAAACCACTAGAATGCGAAACTTGTTTGCTTCAAAATATTTTTATCTTTTTTCAACAATTACTATACTTTAAGCAATATGGAAATGAAGTATATTTCTTTATTTAAAATTTTTAGACAACGGTCACAGTTGCAAATATAAAATTCTCTGAGCCAGGGAGGGTTCATAGGGATTTCAACTTGATCTTGTTCGTGTGGGAATTTTTTTGTGGTAGCACAATTTGTATTTTAATACTGAAATCTTACTTTAATATGTTTAAAGAATATAATTTTAGACACCACCACGTATGAACAATTTAAAGATACATATAAAATGCCAGTTAGTTTCAATAACCTCGTAACGATGTTTAACGATGCTTTTAACGTGCATCAGTTACCCCATGTAGTTGGTGACTGATGCGCGTTAAAACTCTGTGGAGTCTCAAAGTCCTCCATGAAATCGAATTCTTGGCCATAGATGGCGCCACTGAAAAACAAGAATCGCACACTCTGCCTTAAACTTGCTCGGTTTCTTACCCGTGTGGCATAAAAAAAATTATGGTAACCAATTTGCTCTAAATTAACAAACAGGAATTTAGTTAATTTAGAGCAAAGAAAATTGTTAAGCCATCTCTTTTATTTAAAAACATCACTATTTGCAGTTCTAGTAATTAAAATATCTAGATCTAAAAATCTAGGGATCATAATTTTGCAACCAACACTTAATTTTTAATAGAACACTGACATCATTGCTGCAATCAAAGCGAAGTATTTTCTTTCGACAAGTAAAAACGAAATAACACAATCATACTACTAATTTCTGTCATTTCCTAGTTTCCTAGGGATTTTATAATAATTAATGGATTTCCCTGAGATAACTCGGTGTAATTAGGTAAGCAGTCTCTCAGCGCTTTTTTTAAAAACTCACTATTTGTATGTTTAATTCAAACTTTTTTTCCCCCTCATAACTGCAATGGAAATTCCTTCTTGCTTACGTTTGGACTCATTGGGAATTAGGAATGGAAAGTAACACTGGAATATTATAAGTAGTAATGGAAAGTAGCACTGGAATATTATAAGTAGTAATGGAAAGTAGTACTGGAATATTATAAGTAGTAATGGAAAGTAGCACTGGAATATTATAAGTAGTAATGGAATTTAACAGACTTTTGTGTAACTCAATAGGCGGCAATATTTCCCATTCGGGGACAAATCTTTTTTTTCTTCAAAAAGTAAAAGCAAAGATAGTCAAAGCTTAATATGACAGTTATGAATAACTATTAAAAACTCACAGCAGTTATAAAAATAGCATACTGATTGTTAAAAGGTATAATTTGATGTGACTACAAAGCAGCAAGCAACCGTAATCCTTTCTGGTACAGTATAGCTCATTTGGCAACACTAATTCAACCAATGTTACAAACCAATGTTAAACTAACTGCTTTTAAACGCTTAGCAACCATTATTTTTTAAACAACAAAGATCTGAAGTATGTCACTTCAGTTAGAATGTATTGTCTGAAACCAAACTGTCTGCTAACCTCAACGAATCCATACAAAATGACAAATACTACACGATGACGCTTCCAAACAATCCCTATCCAAATAAAGGTTTTAAAACATCATTTTTTGGATAGGGGAGATCTAAGATCAAGACAAGACAATAATGTATTGTCTAAGGTTGTACTTGCCAATGTTCTGTCTGACAAAATTTTAAATGAAAATTGGTTATTTCGGAGATGGTTAAGAACAATAAGTTAAAATAGCATAAACGTAACATGTGGCCTTAATTTTATTCTAAAATAACATAGTATTAACCAAATATACCTTTCAAACAATTTGAATGTATGAAATCTTAGGATCAATTTCTCATCACTACCAACCCACGCTTTTAAATCTGTATATAGTGGGTTGAATTAAAGATCATAAATTCGATCGCCGACTAACAAAATTCTAATAACTCTTGAAAGCCAACGTGTAATTTTTATTTATCCAAAAAAATGATATTTTAAAAAAGGATGGCAGAATAGGCGGACAAGAAAGTAATTGTGATACACAAACCTAATTACCTGAAGATTTTAATGGCACGGTTGATTTCTCAAACACAAATAAAAAAACAGAGGCGGCAGATGAATTCAGATCGCCAACTATTAATGGTTTTTATAATCACCTAGCCCGCACAAATGCTATTTACATAAACAAGAGTAATTACGTTTGCGAACACGATACTTTCTTCAGTGGGCAATAAAACTTTTTTTTAATGTATCTATACGTGTCAGTTGATTTCTTTAAAAAGATCTTGACATTGACTTTGAAGATTAGGTACCATTACAATTTGTTTCCCAGTTATGTTATTAAGTTATGACAAAATAATGATATTTTATATTTAACGCCAAAACGTAAATAATGGTAAAATGGTTATGCAATTTGTTTTCTCAGGTAGGGCCAGTGCAAATGCTATTTGCACAAACAAGGGCAAATATGAATGAAAATTCGTTACTTTCTTCAGTAGGCATGATGTCTTTACTTGTGAGTGGATTGCTTAGAAACGATCTTGACATTAGCTTTAAGGGTTAGGTGGTATAGCAATTTTTTCCTCCCAATTATGTAATAATTTTATAATAGAAATTTCGATTTTTTTTATATATATATTTAATCCTAAAACACAATCAATACAAAACTAAATGGTGATGTAGTTTCTTTCTCCTGGTCATTGCCAGCACAAATACGCGAATAAAGGCAAATATGTTTACGCACACGTTACTTTTTTCAAGCGGCCAAATTTTGAATTTACGATTATCAGTGTTACACTCTGTAGCCTAGTAATTTTGAACTCAACCAAAAAGACACGGGAACTCTTGGATCAAGCATTTTTTTACAAGTCAAAGAAGCTTTCATTGGAGTAAACAAGCCTTTGTAGAAGACTTTTAGATGGAACTAATCTGCATTTGCGTTACATGAAGAAAAGAACCAAGAAAAGTCTCATTATTAGTCCGACGGTAAGGGAATTCAAACTTATGATCCGTCTATTACTGATACTATTTTTCGTCAGAACTGTGGTCAATACGAGCAGGGAATAGTGGACGAATCAGTCAGCAAATCGATGGGATTCGAATCCAGTTCATCTGATTAGAAGGCTAGTGACCGATCCCCTAAGCCACCACGACTCTTATTTGATTCATTAAACTGCTTAGCCACCACGAGAACAACATTTAAGAACCGCCATTTTATAGAATTACGCAGTAATTTATATAAATGTTAACGAGCATCTAGCATCCTCTTCATAAATTCTAAAAATAAAGTTTTGCTACCGCCTTAACTTTTATTGCATATTTAAGGAGATATAAATTATCATCAGTTATTACATTAGGACGACCTAAACTAAGTCTGACGAAATACTAAGGAAAGATCACTGAAATACTTCATGATCTTGTAATCAGTGGTTGCCTAAAGAATGTTGCGCCGTTAGGATGGACTAGAAAGTCTCAGGAGATACACGGTAAAAAATTCCTGATAAAATTCCTATAAAAATATCCTGAGTGCAGCATCAGCGAAATCTAATTTCATTGTCAAATTGTATACAGTAATATCTATTTAATTACAGTGATCCATTGATTTTACAGTAAACAATACTGTAAAAATTAATGTACACCAGATTTTTCTTTGTGCCGAAATGTTTAACGGTAAAAAGTACCTGCTCACTGAGTGCCGGTACTTTTCAGTAACTTGATCCAGAATTTTGTACAGTGTAGAGAGCTTTCGACCCAGTACCAATAAATCGACCCAGCTTCGAAACTTGATGATGGTTGATATATACTGCTCCCATCCGGTATTGACCACATTATATATCTACTGGGGTAGACAGATAATATAAAGATTTCCCTTGCCTTTGGGATAATAGTCGAAGTCTTACATGGTTTTTCTCTCCATTCTTAACGTAAATGCAGGCTCGTTTCACAAAATACATCTTCACCGTGATGACATGTTTGTCCCAATGCATTATCACGGAGTTTTCCCCGTCTTCTGTGTTGAGTTCAAGGTTACAGAGTTAAACATTGATAGCACAAATAAATAGATTCACTGTTCAACCCCGATTTTAATAATAATGGCA